CGGTCTCCCAAAGTGCTGGAAATACAGGCATGAGCCACTGTGCCCGGCCCACCCCCATTCGATTGTCTGCCACATGGCAATCAGTTATTTTTATTTTTTTTTTAAATTGCCAGGCCCGCTGGCTCACACCTGTAATCCCAGCACTTTAGGAGGCTGAGGCTAGAGAATTGCCTGAGCTCAGGGATTCGAGACCAGCCCAGGCACCTTGGCAAGACTTTGTCTCTACAATAAATCAAAACATTAGCCAGGCGTGGTGGTGCATGCCTGTAGTTCCAGCTACTTGGAAAACTGAGGCGAGAGGATCGCCTGAGCCCAGCAGGTTGAGGCTGCGGTGCCACGAGAGTGCCACCGCACTCCTGCCTGGGTGACACAATGAGACTCCGATTAAAAAAATAAAATAAAATAAAATAAAACAGAGTACCTGGTCTAATTGAAGATCAGTGGAGGTCCAAACTTCACACAGAATAGTTTTGTACCTAACCTTGACTTGTACCCCACATCTCTGTAATTTAAAAAAAGTGAAAAATAAATAAATAAAAATGTAAAAAGTGAGCCAGATACGGTGGTCCATGCCTGTAATCCCAGCACTTTGGGAGGCCAAGGAGAGAGGATTGTCTGAGCTCAGTGGTTTGAGACCAGCCTGTGCAACTGGGCGAGGCCTCGTCTCTACAATAAATCAAAAACTTAGCCAGGCGTGATGGCACATGCCTGTAGTTCTAGCTACTTGGAAGATTGAGGCGGAATGATCGCCTGAGCCCAGCAGGTCGAGGCTGCAGTGGCCGTCAGCATGCCACTGCACTCCAGCCTGGGTGACAAAGTGAGACAGCAACTCAAAAAAAAAAAAAAATTTAAAAAGTGAAATCACTATAATCCTCCCACCTCTGCTTAAAACGCTTTAATAAGTTCCACTGCACTTCCAATAAAATAAAAATTCTTTACCCTGGAATTCCTTAAAATATCCTTCAAGAAATCTGGGCACAGTGGCTCACACCTATAATCCCAGCCCTTTGGGAGGCTAAAGCAGGAGGATCACTTGAGACCATGACTTCGAGACAAGCCTGGGCAACAAAGCTAGACCTCGCCTCACAAAAACTCAAAAAATTAGCTGGATGTGGTGGTGCATGCCTGTAGTTCCAGCTACTCAGGAGGCTGAAGCAGGAGGATCACTTGAGCCCAGGAGGTTAAGGCTGCAGTGAGCCATAATCGTGCCACTGTACTCTAACGTGGGTGACAGAGTGAAAGAAATCCTGGTGTAATCACTCTGTCACCCAGAGTTATTTATCTATATCCTTCCTGACCTGCCATCTCCATAGCTTCATCTCATTCCACTCTCTCCTAACAAACCACACTTCGGCCATATTGGCCTTTCTTGATCACTGTGACTTCTATATTACTACCTATCACTGTGATCTGTTCCTTTCTGGTAGTAGCACTTACCAGATTTTATTATATATTTGCTTATCTTTGTCTCCCTTACTATACTCTAAATCCCAAGAGGGTAAGATAAAACAATTTTTGTTTTACTATCACGTATTGAATAAAGTATAATATCTAGCATATAGGAGGCACTTACTGGTTTTGGAAGCAGAATATGCTTTCTGATACACTCTTAACGTATATTCTATATATTTGTTAGGTAATAAAGCATAAAATTAACAAAATAAATAATATATAATACATTACTGTCAAATAATAAAAGGTTTCATTGGCCTTCCTCCCCTAGTTCCTGGGAAGTATCCTCTAAATCCTTGGATTTTCCAGAGTGACAGGAGTGTCTGTTATTCCTGATGGGTCCCGCAGACCATATTTAATAGTTTATGTTAACAAAGTGACTCATTTTGGGCAGTATAGCTAGACAGTTAGTTTATGCTCAGGATGAGGGCTAGCCATGCCAGAAAGAGCAACCATGTGGTTAGGGTTGGAATACTGGAGACTGAGTTAAATCAATGTGGGTGATGACTCAACTGATTGTGCCTACATAATAAAGCTCCAATAAAAACTCCTCACAGTAAAGCTCCTGTGAGCTTCTCTGGTTAACCAGACTCTGAGTTGTAAGCAGACCCTGAACATTTATCAAAATACTATAAGAAATAGCTACCTAGATTTAGGCCAAACTTCACAGGCCAAGGGCACAGTTGCCCTATGGTTCCCAGGCTACCACATTTCTGATCAACTGTCTATAAATTTAGGGGTTCCCATTACATCTTTCAGATTCCCTACTTCACTAGAGTGACTTAGAGAACTCAAAAAAATGCTACACTTACAATTATAGTTTTTATTTGTTTTATTTTTTGAGTCAGAGTCTCATTCTGTTGCCCATGCTGGAGTGCAGTGGCATGCTCATGGCTCACCCCAGTCTTGACCTCCTGGACTTAGGTGATCTGAGATACACTGCCGGGGTGGAGGTTGGGGGCATGTACAACATTAATAAGGGTACCTGATCTCAAATCAGGCAAAGGGATGCCCAAATTTTACCTGTACGATGAACATTTGTATACCTAATCTTGAATAGTACCCCACATCTTTAAAATAAAAAAATAAATAAGTGAAAATTAAAATTAAAACAAAACAAAAACAAAAAACCAATACTCTGAGCGTATTGTTACACACTGATGTCAGGGGTGAGGAGTGGAGGTAGGTACACTCACTCCCTGTGGAAGGGGCACAGAAGCTTCACATTTGAGACACTCCCAGACTTTGCCCCATGTGTCTCTTCTTTTGGCTGGTCCTGATTTGTATCTTTTGCCATGTTAAAACTATAATTGACTTAGGGAGGCTGAGGTAAGAGGACTGCTTGAGCCCAGGAGTTCAAGACCAGCCTAGGCAAGCAAGACCTAGTAACGACAAAAAACAAACAAACAATTAGCTGGGCATAGTGGCGTGTGTCTGTAGTCCCAGCTATTCAGGCTGCTCAGGAGGCTGTGGCGGAAGATCACCTAAGTCCAGGAGGTCAAGACTGGGGTGAGCCATGAGCATGCAACTGCACTCCAGCATGGGCAACAGAATGAGACTCTGACTCAAAAAATAAAAAAAATAATAACTATAATTGTAAGTGTAGCATTTTTTTTTGAGTTCTCTAAGTCACTCTAGTGAAGTAGTAAATCTGAAAGATATAATGGGAACCCCTAAATTTATAGACAGTTGATCAGAAATGTGGTAGCCTGGGAACCGTAGGGCAACTGTGCCCTTGGCCTGTGAAGTTTGGCCTTAATCTAGGTAGCTAGTGTCAGAATTATACTATAATTACACAACCAATAATAACAGACTCCATTTCATAAATATGTGTCAGGTACTATGCAAGTATTTTTACACATATTATTTCTAAATACTTAGAAAGTATTATCATTAAGTCTCACAATGATCCCACAAGATTGAATGATCATCCTAATTTTGTAACCAGGGAAACCAAGAAGTAAAAGTGACATGGCCAGTAAGTGGCAAAGCCTAAATTGGAACTCTGTACTGTCTGACATTTTAAAAGCCCATGATCTAGTTATAACACATTTGCAGCTTCTCAAATTGGTTATATAAACACGTAACAAGATTACCACCTAAGAATGCAAATACTCATCATATCTTTCTTTAAATCATTATTATTATTATTGTTATTTTTGTGTCAGGGTCTCATTCTGTTGCCAAGACTGGAGTGCAGTGGCATGGTCATGGCTCACTACAGCCTCAAACTCCTGGGCTCAGGCGATCCTTCCACCTCAGCCTCCCAAGTAGTTGGCACCACAGGCAGGCACCACCACGCCCAGCTTATTTTTTATTTTTTGCAGTGATGAAGTCTCACTATGTGGCCCAGACTGATCTCAAACTCCTCCAGCAATTCATCTACCTCAGCCCCCCAAAGTACTGAAATTACAGGTGTGAGCCACCATACCTGACCTATTCAAATTATTGACTGAGATGTCACAACAAGATCTAAAGTACTCTTTATGAATTTATATGCTCTCTATATGAAGTATGAAATATATTTTAATGAAAATTCCTTTAGTAATTGTTTAACTTACTTGTTTGTGTTTTAGAGACATGTTTCTGGAGAAAATCAACGATCTGAGCCAAAACCTTCTTATTACAATGCGTTGATAATTTTTCATCACACTCATAACACCTGAAAAAGTACAAAACTTACGTAAATGTTCTGAAAGCATTTTCAATAATTTTGCACATCAGGTCACAAAGTTGACATTTAACTACTTCTGTCTTTAAATTATGTGGGAGGGAACACAAAGGTGAAAGTACCAGTGAGTCTAGAAGAAAAAGCAGGGGACCGTTCATACCGAGCCTTCTAGTTCACAGGTTTATCTTAAAGATAATGCAATGCCATCAGAGAGTTTTTGAGAAGGGCCATGATACGATCCGATTTACTTTTCCCGAGTCAGGGTTTCTGACTAGGCTGGAGTGCAGCAGCAGACTCACAGCTAACCACAGCCTTGATCTCCTGGGCTCAGGCGAGCTTTCTACATCAGCCTTCCGAGTAGACGGGATGAAGCCACATGCCACCACACCTGGCTAATTTTTAAAAAATTTTTATAGACAGGAAGCTTACTCTGTAGCCTAGTCTGATGTCATCCAGTCTCCAATTTTACATTTTGAAAACATCATTCTGACTAATGTGATAAACTAGACTGGAGGGCATCAGGAATAGAAACAGATTAGTATAGTAGTAGTGGATCTGAAGAGAAGTGGATATATTCATTATAAAAAATATTTGCAGGTAGAAACAGTCACAAATTAGATGAGGGAGAGAGAAAGTGTTAAAATAACCACCGGGGTGAGCAGAAGTAGATAGAAGAACGTCAATGACTCTCAACAAGGACTGATTTTGGCACTGAGGGGACATTTGACATTTTTGGTTGTCACAACTGGTGAGAGGAGAGGGGATTGCTACTGGCATTGAGTGGATAGAAGCCAGGACATGCTGCTAAACATCCTACAATATACAAGACAGCACAACCAAGAATTTATCATAAAAATTAACAATCCAAACGTCAACAGAATTGAAATTGAGAAATCCTGGTCGAGATGAAACAAGACTTGCTGTGAGTTATTAATAATGTTTAACCCTGGTTGATGGATACAGGGAATTCATTACAACACTTATCTACTTTTGTTCCCATGTTAAAAATCAAATGAAAAAGGCCAGGCTCGGTGGCTCAGCCTACAATTCCAGCACTTTGGGAGGCCAAGGTGAGTGGATTGCCTGAGCCTACGGGTTCGAGACCCACCCAGGCAACTTGGCGAGACCACATCTCTACAATAAATCAAAAATATTAGCCAGGTGTAGTAGTGCGCGCCTGTAGTTCCAGCTACTTGGAAGGCTGAGGCGGAAGGATCACCTGAGCCCAGCAGGTCGAGGCTGCAGTGGCCAAGAGCGTGCCACTGCATTCCAGTCTAGGCAACAGAGTGAGACTCTAACTCAAAAAAAAAAAAAAATCAGATAAAATGGAGAAGAACATAACTGCCAAGTTTCTAGCTTGATTACTAAGTGTAGCCACTTACAGAGATGAGAAAGATTGGAAGAGATTGCTGTTTTTATTTTGTTCTTATTTTATTTGGAGGTAAGGGTTAAAGAAGATATTTTCAAAAGCACATTCTATTTTATAAAACTACCCTCAATTTATATGTTTCTTCTATAAATTATCATTCACTATTTATTTCCTTTACTTTATGAGTTCCAATGATCATGTAAGAACATGCGTTTGAAAGGGTTTTATAAACATAATGCATCATAACAATGCTACACATATTCACAGTCTTCTTACTCGTTACTATTGGTGGTCCTGAGATCATCAATAGCTATAAACTAGTTTGGGTTCCTTTTCTAAACATCACTTAAAATTCAGTCAAATACCTACTGAGTACCTAGACTATTACTTGTCTATAGATAAACAGATCTGAAAAGGAGATGAGTCATGTTTCCCCAAAACATTTTTTCTCATAGACCATAATTAAATTTGAATAATTTTATTGTAGTTCTTAGGCTTACATTAGAATATGTGCTCAATATTTACTCACTTAACTGTTGTCAAGAAATAACAGAAATATAAAATAACTGCTCATTTGAAAAACATTAAAATATCAAGAAATTTTTACTGACACTGCAATTGAATATTTACTTATAATAAAATATAATTTTAAAAAATTTTTTGTTCTTTTCTTTCTTTATTTTCAATTACAGAGGGTCTCGCTATGTTGTACAGGTTGGTCTTGAACTCCTGGCCTCAGGGAATCTTCCCACTTCATCTCTCAAAGTGCTGGGATTACAGGTTTCAGCCACCACACCCATTTTAACTTTGAAAGTACAAAAAGAGAAAAATAGAAAATAAAAACCAGCATGGTGGCAGCAAATTTGAAGAAAAGAGGACAGAGCAAGGTAACTTACTTCTAGTTGTTTCCATTAGAAATAGCAAAAATAAGCTGGACACAGTGGCTCACGCCTGTAATCCCAGTACTTTGGGAGGGAGAGGTAAGAGGATTACCTGAGCTCAGGGGTTCGAAACCAGCCTGAGCAACATGGCGAGACCTCGTCTCTACAATAAATCAAAAAATCAGCTGGGCATGGTGGCACATGCTTGTGGTTCCAGCTACTTGGAAGGCTGGGTGGAAAGATCATGTGAGTCCAGTAGGTCAAGGCTGCGGTGGCTGTGAGTGTGCCACCGTACTCCAGCCTGGGCAACAGAGTGAGACTCCGACTCAAAAAAAAAAAAGAAAGAAAGAACAAAAATAATTTTTTAAATAGAGCATTTACTATGTGCCAGGCTCTGTGCTAAGTGCTTCACATGTATAATCTTATTTAATTCCTCACAAATTCATAAAATAATTATTTTTTAAAAAATATCATTATAGCCGGGCTCGGTGGCTCAGCCTGTAATCCCGCGCCTTTGGGAGGCTGAGGTG